TCAAACCCGTAGCATTTTGGTGGATGGGATGACGCTTCAACCAACTGAGCCACCCGGCCAGGGCTTTGGTGCCTTCGGCTTCCCCTCCTTCCACGGCAGTACCGGGAATTGCGCTGCTCTCCCTCAGTTCGGGGAAGTCTCCCATCAGGTTCGATGACCACCCAGAACAATGACGGCACTGTTGTTTTTCAGGATATGCTAAAAATGGCTAAACTATTTACAAAGTTGGGACACTGCAGCAGAAAAACTGCTGAACAAAATGTTTATTTTCTCCTTTACAAAAGCAGAGCTGCCAAAGAATTTTGACTTTCTGCATGTGTAAAATGCATGTTTCATGAGCGATTGGCCTCTCTTTTCACTTACTTAATGGTTAATGCTAGTAAGTAATGCAGGGGCTGATACCACCTGTATCGGGCACCCTTCATCAACGGCCTGGGGTGTTTCTGGGCCAATCATATCAAGAGTCACACACATATACAAAATGGAGAAAGAGAAATGTAAGAAATCATATCAAAAATGTTCATGAGTGGTTATCTCTGGATGCAAGAATTTTGGATAGTTTTTTATCTTGATATTCTTAAATTTCCTAGTTTGTTTCTTTAAAAAAGACATAGTTGTTTTTATACTTAGCAAAAAGAGAGGTTTTAAATATCAATTTATACAACTTTGTGTATGCCACTTATGATAGCTATTTCTGGGTTTCCCCCACGTTCACAACAAGCTCTTCTCTTCTGGGAATTTCTTGTCTCTCACCCAATTCCAAGGGAAGAGTCCTGGAAACCATGTTTATATCTGTCAGGTCTTAATTCAAATGCTACCTCCTCAGAGACTTTCCAAACCACCACCTAAAATACTCACCCTCAACAACTCACTCTATTTTGTTTTATACATAGAGCTTATCCTATTGGAAATTATTTAACTTTCTTGTCTACTGTTTTTCTCTTTTCAGTGGTGGGGGGGGGTTGCTTTTCTGTCTCGTTTACTGCTGTGTCCCAGCACCAAGAATAGTATCTGACATGTAGTTTACACTCAAAATAATATCCACAGAACAAATGAAAAGCCCCATGTGACCCCATGTGTCTGGCCTTCGCTTAAAGGACAAGAAAGAAGACCCTGAGAAAGCAAGACCAATCAGAAAATTTCTAGAATTTGGAACTTTTGTGGTAAAATGTAAACACGGGAGTCGCAGGGTGGCCTTATTCTGGCTCCTGAGCCAGAGAAGGAGAAACCTGGATGACAGAGCGAGAGAAAAGACACGTGTGAGAAGCCGGGGGAGCGTGGCCCCACAGCCTTGCTGGCCTGCTGCCTTTCAGCCTGGGGTTGCATAACTTCATCATTACGTTCTGCGTTTCTGGTGAGGCCAGTTGGAGCTGGTGCTGTCACTGACAACCAAGGAGTCCTAGTTAATATATCTATGGTCACAATCATGTTTTGAAAATTCATTGCACAAATATCTTTGGAGGAAATACTCCAGAATGGTTGCCTCTGAGCGGTGGGATGACCTAGTTTCCTATGTTTTCTAAAACTAGCATGTGTCGCTTTCATGACGAGGACATAATACATAGATTTTTCTGAGAACCCTAGCGTGATAGGCTCCAGTAGATCATGTCAGTCTGTCCATTTAATTTTAGGACGTAGAGCTGCGCGGTGAAGCGATGAAATGACTCACCCGCGCGCACCAAGCTCATTCACACCACTGTGGCCCAGGCTCTCTGACGGCCAGGCCGGCCTCTTCTCTCCCAGGGACCCCTTGGCCAGTCATTGTGCTTTTCATCCTGACATGCTACATTTCTATTATTTTCTCAATAATTAATTGTTTCATTTTGTTAGAAGGGAAAAAAGCTTTCCTTATGGGCTAACTCCAGTGAATTGGGTGTGACTGTCTCATTGCCGTGTTGAGAAAGTTTCTACAGTGACACTGAGGAAGGCTCTAGACTGGGTGGGAAAGAAGGGCCGCCGCTGATGGCTGGCGTCTGCCTGAGTGCAGGGAGAGCGGGGGTGCGTGGGGAAAGTTCTGTTCTAAAGCTGTCGGGCGCAGGCAAAGCTGGCTTTCTGAGGGCGGGGGAAGCAGCTGCAAACTCAGGGTATCCATCGGTATCACACAGGCCTCTGTCTCTCAGTCTATGTTAAGAGAAGTTCTACTGTTACTGTATGATGATGGCATAATAAGGGCATAAAGAATGAAGCAGTGGCTGTATAAATTATGCTTTGCCTTTTTTTTATTACCTTTGTTTGAAATTTCATTTCACTTTTTTTTGGCTAGCTTGTGGCCAAAGGGGCTGACTGCCATTAGGCTGGGGTGTCAGCGGATGGAGCCACCATGAGCATATCTGGGCGCCGTGGAGGCCTGAGCCAAAGTGCTTGTGGAGGGTAGTCTCCTTCTGGGCTGGACCACGGCGTGGCTCTAATTCCTACATAAGCCTCACTGAGCTACTGATCTGTCCCACTTGTGTCTTGAATTGATTCATTGGCCCCACCTAGTTTTAAGAAAACTCCTTTAATGATCCAACAGCCCACAGGGATGGTGAACAGCACTGTTTTGGGCTCAGTAACCAACGAGACAGAGAGGAAGTGCTAACAGTCCAAAGAGCATCACAGGAAAAAGACAAGAATTGTCACTTGGAATTCAGAGGGAGGTTAAGCTGTTGCAAGAAGACTGGACAGGAGCCCAGAGGCCAGAAAGCACCAAAGGACAGAGGCTTTCCCTTTGTCCACTGGAAAACAAGCCTGTCCCTCCCCTGAGCTGCTGGCAAGCCCCACAGGGGCCCCTGCAAACAATTCTCATCTCCCCGGTTCCTCACTCTACCCTCCCTTTTGCTATGCTAGGTAGAGAGGAAGGGGTTTAAAAAAAATTTCTTTTTAAATCTCCGCAGCTGCGTTGGTGGAGGACAGGCCCAGGCAGAGGCAGCGGGACAAAGCAGCCTCCTCAGGAGGTCCTCTGGGAGTCCCGAGGGCCGGAGCCCACCCTGCGCTGGAGTCAGGGCTGGAGCAGTTTTAAATATTTGCGAAGTGGGTCATAAATGTTACCTCATTGTGGACCCAGCTGCCAGCATCACCAGAACAGAGGGGAAGCTGAACAGATGAGCCAAATGGAACTGGAAACTTCCTTTGCCACTAACTTAGGTATTTCTAAGGATGCCAGAACTCAGATGTGTCTGAGAACTCGGTTAGCCCTGTATGCATGCGCCCATCATTTGCGAGTGTGGTTGGAATAATGCAAGAGAAAGGGCAAAGCGATAGTCTGACTCTGAAAATGGTTAAACTCTGAATTATTTAGGGATTGCCTCGCCTCTATAAATCTTCAAAGAGGGAGAAACTCCCTTCTGTCTGAAGGATTCTGCACATGTTCCAGGCTGCACAAAGTGTGGGAATCAATCTTGGAAAGGCCTTTCCAACCCTGAGCGTGTAAGCCCTTGCTCTGTACAATGCACTTTTTGTTTGCTTGTTTTCAAAGACCCACGTCTTTGTTTTATATGGCAACCCGTGGTTACACAAAGCACAGCAAAGAGGTTTCGATTTGCACACCAAATCCTGTTGGTAGTAGCTGCTTGGAGAGCTGCGCTAAGAAACATTCTGAGGCCACATCTGGATACTGCAGGAAAGTGTGTGACGATGGATTAGCAATGTCTGCCACATATTTTACATCTCTGCATTAAATCAAGGGACACCTTTGAGACATCTAGATCCAGGGTGAAGTTCTTAGATTCTGGAAAATGGAGAATTCATTACCAAACATCTTCCCCCAGGGAACGGATCATTGCAGCTGCCTCAGATACAAGTATCTTCTATATGAATTGATGTCTCTTATGAACTTACTGTGAATAGCAGAAAGTAGATGTTCACTCTCCCCACAGTGCTTTAGAGCCTCAGGGTTTTGTTTCTAGAATCCTCCCGGTGGTCTCAGAGCCTTACCTCCTTGGGATCCGTTCTCTACAAGGCTGATGGGGTGAGCTTTCTAAATGGAAACCCTTCCGTAGTTCCCATCACCCACATCACAGTTATTTGCTCCTACCTAAGGCTCGTATTAATCTGGTCCGTGCTTGCCTGCCAGCCCCTTCTCTTGTCCCTCTTTTCCTTGGCCCTTTGTGTCACAGCCAAGCCGAGACCCTTGTCCCTCCTGGCTTTTTTCACAGGGGGACCCTTCCATGGGGAGTGCCTATGTCCCTTCTATCTTCCCCTACCTAAAGGACCAACCAAGTTGACCTCCCACAATGCTTTTCCTTTCCCCCTAGACTTCGTTAAAGGGCCCTTGTAAATCATTTAGTGCTTTTTTTGACCCTTATGCTGTGACCTAGGTTTGTCTCTATCTCCTCCTAAAGTTCTAAGCCCTTGCAGGCAAGAGCGGCACCTCGTTAGCTGTGTTCAAACCACTAGGCAACGGATCACCATAGGAGGTGCTTGACCCATGTTTTCTAAATGAGCGAATGAGTGAGGGCTGTGTAGTTAAATTCATGGCATTAATGGTGACTTAGCACATTAAGTGGACATGACCCATTTCCCCACAGTATCTCCACTGCTCTCCTGGCCCCATATAACTCTTCTTTCAATAACAGTTACGTCAAGAAATTGGGGCCAAGGAGACAAGTGTCAATTATGAGCTGTGTAGAAATCTAGAAATTCAAAGTCACTGGATCTTAGACCTAGAGGAGACCTGTTAGATAATCTTGTTCAACTCAGGCCTAGAAGACAGAACTGATGCCTCATCCATGCCTCCCTCCACCCCTCCCTCCCTCCCCACCTCTCTCACTCTCTGTGTTGGAAAAAGGAGTTGTTTCCAGCAATTAGAATGGCAGCTGTGAAAACTGTATGACCAGATTTCATGGCCCATATGGGGAAAAATATTTAATTTTGATTGATAACAGAAGTGACCCATATTTTGGCCTAAACTGTGCAGTTCTAATTCCCAGATCCCTTAACCAAAAATGTCTCCTTTTTTTTCTCTTTACTCAAAAAACGTAATGGGGAACTGGCTCGTTTGGAGGGGAAGAGAAGTGGCTCACCTTGCGTAGCTGTGTTTTCGTCTCATAGTAGGCGATCACGGGGATGGCAGCCCGGTAGTAGGCTTCAAGGCGCTTGGCGATGGCAGCGGCACTGTCCGCGCCCGGGCCGCTCTGGCTCCTCTGGAGAAGGCGGCTGGTCATGGTGTCTGCCGAGCAGTCCATGCAGATCACCAAGTGCGGGTCTCCAATCTGGGGTGGGGAGCACAACACGGTCAGATCGTCCATTCTGTGATGCTCTGGGATGGCCCAGGAACCCGAGCCCTTCCCTTTCTTGGCCTTCTACTTCCTATCAAGGTCCTAGAACTACACTTGGCAGAGCTGGGACTGGACGTTGTGGCTCCTTATTTCCAAGTCAGTGGTTTTCCTGTGATGCCTCCGAGTTGTCTCTTGCCTTTGTCAAGTCCTGTAATGCAGGGACTACGTAAAATGTGAACTAATGCGGTCACGTTCCATTCTCCACACTAAGGGGAGGGGCGTGTGTGTACATGGTGTGTCCTCTCGGAAGCTTTCTCTGACCCACTGAGGCAGAGCTAATCACTTCCTCCTCTGTACCTCCATGTTATTCTACACCGGTTCCTACACAGAGCGGCTATGTCTAGGTTCTGTGGGAATTAGTATAGCATAATGCTTGAGCACACAATGGTTGGAATCAGGCTTCTTAGGGTGAAATCCTGGTATGGTGACTTGTTTCCGAGATGGTTTTCATCAATTGTTCTTCCCCCGTTGGTACACAGAGGACATACCTTGAATCTCAGCTGACCTGTAACTGTGTTGACCAACAGAATATAGTGGAAATGATGTGGTATGCTTTTAGAAGCAAGATCATAAAAAATTTTGCAGTTTCTGCCTCGTCAGCTGTCATCCAACATGTCCAGCCATTCTGACTGCCAGCATGTGAGGCAGCACAACCCAGCCATGCGGTTAGAGGCCACGGGGACAGAGGTGCCTATGCAGCCCTCATCTGTTTTAGACTTCCCAGCCCTGGCTCCAGACATGTATACTCAGTCTAAGCCACTGTCCGACTGTGTAACTTCAGTAAGTATTAGCTATTATGCTTATTTCCCTTATTAGGCTACAATCTCTTTGTGTGCAGGGGTTAGAAGTGCTCATCTCCTGATCCCAAAGTCTGACATATAGTAGGTAGGTGATTTTAAAATGCTTTAATGAATGGATAACGATAATATGATCAGTAGTATGAATCTCCCTATCTCCTTATGCTTCTCTTAAATGTTCTTTGCTCCTGACATTTGTGTCTGTGTTGCCTCTACTACCAACCCCAACCCTGAATCAAAGGAAACTGTTGCTTTCTCCTGATCTCGCAATGATCAGGCTGTGAGTAACACATGGAGGCCTGCCACCCCACTGCAGAAAGTGCCTGGGAGCGATGGGAACAAAGTCAGGGTGGGGAGAATTTAGGTAACACACAGAATGGTAAGATGCTAGTAAGTGTTGATCAAACTTTTATCTCCCTCCTCTGATGAATTTACTTTAAGGAACAGAGTGGAAAATTTCTCCAAAATCTAGATGAGTGAAATAAACCTCTGGAACATGTCATGAAACTTCTGCAAAAAAGGCTGGTTGAAGGCTTAGAAAAAAAAAATGACCCGTGTCCACCAGCAGAGGGCGAGCTTGGGAGGTAGCCTAGGGTTCAGTTACAGAGTTCAACTCCCTGGATCAATTTCTGGTTGGGGCTGCAAAAGAAGACTTGGCAATTTTTTCTAGTTGGGGGAGTTTTCAATCCATTCGTGACCACAGAGAAAATAATAAGAGATGCATTCAAGGACCAACAGAGAGAGTGTGTATCTGAGCAGGAGCTGGCAGTAAATGACACTCTGGGCCAAAATAAGCACAGGAGGCAGAGGTAGATTTGTTTCTCACATTGATTCTCAAATTGTGACCCTTAGACCAGCAGAGCGGGCATCATCTGGGAGCTGAGCTTATTAGAAATGCAGTCTCAAGCACAATCCCAGACCTGCTGAATCAGTCTGCAGTTTAAAAAGATCTCCAGGTGATTCTTCACACAATAATTGCTTGAGAAGCTGCTCTACCAAGCCATTTACTTGTGCTGAGACTATGGGGTTTGTACTAACAAAGGTCTCCTGGAATCAGCTCTCCCCTCCTGCATATAAAAGCTACTGAGCAGTCACTCCATTTGGAAGTGGCCTGTACCACTGATGTTTTTCATACCTAAAAATTTTTGAAATGTTCAAATGAAATACCATTCAATTATTTTTTTCAAAGCACTTTGATATATTGGAAGTCTTTTGGAGCAGCTCTCTGGTTCCCAGCTCTGTGTCTTTTTCCACCGGATGTGGCTAGTCTCTAGCATCGCATAAGTGAGAGCGCAGAGAACTCTGCCCTTGTCCAAATGAATCACAGACTTGGGGACAACTCCCTGGCCCCGGCACCACCCTGCTGGTGTCCCTGGAATTCTGCCACAGCAGCAGAGGGTTCTCCCTGACCTTTGGGTATACAGGGGACCTCTGTTCAAGCACAAGTGTGGCGGACACACCATCAGTAACATTTCAGCAGCTAAGGGCTTAATATCCATCCACCCTTTAACCCTTTCAGCACCCAGCTAGGAGGTATCATCTCTACTCTATGGAACAGGAAATGGAGGTTCACAGAGGTTAACTTGCCCAGCGCCACAGAGAACTAGCTTGTTATTGATAGTGATAGTCCTGAGCCAGCTGTGTGTAACTCCAAAGCTTGGTGACGCTGCCCTAGTGCAGGGCACCAGAGCTTTCAGAATGGGGCTCAGGACAGATGACTGGTGGGCCAAGCGGAGCCAGGAGAGGAGGGCAGGAGGCAGCAAAGGAAGAGGGTGGTGTCGGAGGCCGTTTTATTTTCTTTTGTGGAAGCTGGCTCTTGGGATCTAGTTGGGATGAGCACTTGCCTCGGCTGAGAGCAGCCACCACGATGAGGTCAGCTTCGGTGACGGGTGCCAGTGTCTTTGCCTTGGTAATTGCAGCAGGCTGGGCGGGAGGGGGAGCTCACCCTGGCCTCCTCTGACCCCCACTTTAGTTTTCTTTTGATTAAGTGAGGACACCAGCTAGACTGTTTTTACCAGCGGACAGGGCTAACATGCCGCCCAGGAACTCCCCTGTTGAGAATAACAGCTATTTTGTTCTCTCTGGATCTCTCCGTTTCCTAGTTTTTAAATGAGAATAATAATAGTTTCTACCTCAACAGTGATTGCGAGGATTAAATGAGTTATTACAAGTACCTGGCCCATTTCAAGTGCAACATAAATGTGAGCTCGTATTAATTAATGTGGGCCTGGCGAGCCCTTTAAACTGTAAATGCCCCTGGTGGTCAATTTTTAAAAAATTTTTTATATTTCTTTTTAGTTATTGATGAGAGAGAGAAAGAGAGAGAGAAACATCGATTTATTGTTTCACTTATTTATGCATTCATTAGTTGATTCTTTTATGTGCTCTAACTGGGATCAAATCACAGCCTTGGTGTATCAGGACGATGCTCCGACCAACTGAGCTACCCGGCCAGGGCTTCAGTTTGGGTTTAGAAAGAGCCAGAGGCCCACTCATGCTTTTAGCCTAAGTCCAGCACCCTCCCCAGTCCCTGCACCGTGGGGTATGGACTCCTGGCTAACAATAAAGTGGCAGGCCCAGTTCCCATGGGCTCCCACCCTGAGGTACACCCCCTTGGGCAGCCTCCCTGGAGGAGGGGTGTCTGGGCCATTCCAGCATTCCCAAACACACAGCCCTGATAGCAAGGACACTGCCCCTCTGCCATCGGAACTTCTGCCCCCGACACTGCCACTACCCGGCTCAAAGTTCTGCGAAGAACGAAGAGGCAGATGAAGAGAGCAGTAAATCTTAAGTGGAAAATCCCAAGGGCCCTCCAAGGCTCCCCACAATTTTAAACAACTATACAGCACACCAACCAGAATATCCCTTGGCCAGGCTCACAACCTTTTTCTTTCTTTTTTTCCCTAAGAGCTCATCCTGAAGCTTAGAATACATTTATAAACAGAATCACTGACTCTGTAGATGCAAAATTATATGAGATAGTTAAGAGTAGTCAGGCTGAGGGACAGTAATATCATCATTCACGCATCCAGAAAAATTATCATCATATTCAGGTAAAGGGCAGAATTTCAGCTAAGGGGCTCGTGGGAGGGAAAAGCCAAAAGCAACTGCATACACTTTACTTCTGTTAATACATGTTTCGTTTGGCTGTTGCTGAGTAAAATATTGGCCTAATACAGAAAAGCTTTTCAATTTCACCCCGGGGAGCTAGGCTAAGCACACACTCCTCCTGAACACGGTAAGAATCTATAAAGTAGGGATAATAATACCTGCTGAACAGGATTGTAAAGATTCATAAAATGACATGTAACATCTAGTTCAATACCCATTTTAAGTGCTCACAAAATAACAGCTATTATTTTGTTAGTTATGTATTCTATATGATTATAACCATATAAAAACAGGTAGAACAACTGGGGAACAACATATGTCAAAATGTGAATGGGTGTTATCTCTGGTGATTAGTAATTTTTTTATTTTATACTTTCTGAATTGCCTCATAGCTATATAATTTTTATTTCCATAGTCACAAAATACTACTAATTTTGAAAAATTTTTGAACATCATATACAAGCTTATAAATGTGTAAGGCACTTTTCAATGATTCTATCCAATTTTCCCAATAAGCACAGAGGTATTTATGTTCAATCTACATTTTGTAAAAGAGGAAGTTGAGCTCTGTAAAGTTCAAGGCCTTGCCAGGGAGTTATAAAGCCAGGCTCGGAACACAGGTACTATAAGTAGGGTTTCTCAGCTGGAGTGGGAGATGGGGATGGTGGTTAGAAAACCCAGCTTCTCCTTCGTATTCCTTCTGTCTCTGTCTGTCTGTTTCTCTTTTACACACACACAGCCCTGCCGACGCCCTGCCCGCCCCCAGGATACCCCGTTGGATACGGAAGGCACAGATCAATTCAATAGAGGGAAAATAACAGCCTTGGGAATAGAAGATAGAAAGGTAATAGAGCGATCACATACAGACTTAGCCCAGAGCTATGGACAAATTGTAGTTTGTGTTTGGCCTTTAATGATGTCATGCACAGTGAGACAAGCAAATCCTCAAAGGGTTTCACATCTCAGAGAGCTCAGCTATAGGTATGCAAAAGTGTTGGCCTAACTAACTAACTAACTGAACTGGATATTTTTTCGGCAACAGATGGTCCTACGTGTCTGGCATGTCAGTCTCCGTGACAGGGAAAGGCTGGTGAGATGTCCGGAGCCTGGTTAAAACCAATCACAGGCCTGAACGGGCTTCAAGCATAGTTGCATGCTTGATGAGTGTACAAGAAACATTAAAATCAGATGTCTGTAATTGTCTTTGCCAAACTTAAAATTAATTATATGCCTGTAATTTGGAGGGGGTTGTACAAATGCTGGGGTCCCTGTAGGGCATAAATAAATCAATAACAGCTCATTCTGTGTTTGTAGCATCTTTGTTCTTTGGGCCCAGTTTAAAACAAGAGCTTGTTTTAGAGGGTTGTATGTGTTCTCTTGCACACAAGGCTAATTTATATTAGAATCTTCTAAATTTACTGTACCCAGGGAAATATCATCATGCTTGATCTTTGCAAATTCCTCTCAGCACTACATAAAAGACAGTTTTGGTAGATACTTCACTTGAAAGTCATCAGTTCAGTATGAAGTGGCGCACGTGTATATTTTTTGAAATGGCATCACGAATTTTAGCATTGGTTGAAACTGTCCAGTCATCCTGTGGATAACCCTTTGTCACTCCAGAGCTCTAGCTGGTTTCTTCTCTGACCCATTCTTACAATATGAATGAACCTCGAGGACATTATACTGATTAAGCTAGTCACAAAGAGATAAAAACTGTCTGATTCCACTTATTTGAGATACTTGAATAGTCAAATTCAGAGACGGAAAGTAGAATGGTGGTTGCCAGGGGCTGAGGGAGGGGGAGAATAGGGAGTTTAATGGCTGTAGTGATTGTTTTTTACAAAGTTTTTTTGTTTTTTAAATGTTTCTCAATTACAGTTGGACCCGCTGCAGTCACAGGCTCTGTCGCAGGAGTCCGTTCCTCGCCGCCAGCCCCACCCCGCCGGGGGCTCGGAGCCGAGGAGGGACAGCCTGTGGGGTCAGGGCCCAGCCTTGCCAACAGGCCAGGTCATTTTTTTTCTTTGACTCGGGTTAGGGGAAGGTGAGCCACTGTCCCCTTTCTCTAAACATGTAGATGCCATCTAAGGAAGTTAAATAAAACAGAGGCTCAGAGGGAGGTAAAACAAACACCCAGGGGACGCACACGGACGGTTCACCTTAATTAACAGTGCGAGATGGATTGAGATGGGCCTCCGACTCTCAGTCTGACCAGCAGCTGCCACTTACCAGCCGTGTGACTATGGGCAAGTCATGTAACCTCTTTGGGCTTCATTCATCACATTTAACTGGAAGAAAATGCCTCCTCTGTCGAGGCATTTTAATAACCTTTAAAAGGTTATTAAAATATATATAACAAATGACATAATATATATGGAAATGTTTGAAAACAAGTCTACAGAGTTAGTTACATAAATAGGAGTTCTTGTAGGCTCTGGAGTTTTTGTTAAATACCTAGGACAATTGTCTTCCTCTTGACTGGACTCTGTGAAATTAGGGGTGATGCCTGTAAAGTGGGTAGCACAGGTCCCAGCCCGGAGTCGGCGTCGTAAATGATGGCAATGCTGGTTTTTACCTACCTCTGTTCCCCTGTGAGCGGCCCCTCCTGGTGAACAGGGTGCGGCATGGGGCGCTTGTGATGGTGGCAGGTTGCAGTCGTGCCTGTATTTGATTCTGCCTGTCCAGCATCCAGTCCCCTGCCTTCTCCTCAGAACAGTCCTATTTTGCCTCGGGTAATTTCCCTGCCCTTTCTCAGCCCGTGTGGCCCAGGTGTGGCGCCCGTCCTCCCCCCGCCCCCGCCCCCGCCCCCGCCCCGACCTCCAGCCTGCACCAGGGCCCTCCTGGGCGTTCCCTCAGAGGCCCTCCCGTCCCCGCCTTGGCCACCGTGCTTGGTTCAGTGATGGACCTAGGGACCCAGGACAATGATAAACACAACCCTGGGTCTTTTTGTTGGACCCTTTGGCAAACAGAACCACTCTTCTGTGAGGGAATTTAGAGGGTGGAAGATAAGCCTGGAACCAGAAGACAATGCAGCCAACACAAAGGAAAGTCAATCCAAGAACTAGAAAAAGTCAGACATTTGATGAGCAAATTTTAATATATAAATCCAACCCAGTGTGAACCACTCCTGGGCAGTTTAGTTACTCAAGCTGATAACTCCACCGTCACCACCCCTTCCCTTTTTTCTTCTTTTTTTACTACTTGGTGTTGAGTGTCTGCCATTTATGACTGAAAGCTCTGATTCATGTAATTGGGACAGCAATTTTGAATTTATTTCCCAACCTCAATGAAATCCCATGTGTTTCTTCCGGGGCGAGCCCCAAAGCAACACTCACCCTACGTCCGAACTCTTCGCCTTGCTTCACTTCCCGAGGATAGCCCTCGATCAGGAAGCCCCGGGTGTGGCCGAGGCTGGTCACCACGGCTTCCCGCAGCAGCTCCAGGATGACGTCCTGCAGCAGAGGGAGAGCAGTCAGGGCCCGCCTCGCCCACCCAGCGACACAGCATTAGCTTGGGTCTCCCAGTCCCACTGAGCGAGGGAGAAAGCTTCAGACGAGATCAACAGCTGCCAGCAGTACACTGCGCGTCGTCAATTCTGAGCCTCACTCTCCCCCAAACCACGTTCCAGCGTCTATGAAATTGGCAGGTATCTTACAATCTGTGCTGAGCAAAATTTAATTGTTAGTGCTTTTTCTTTCTGGTATGTTTATACTAGTTATGTCTACTGGGATGTCTTAAAATAATGGCATCTTAGATTACATAGAATCTAGTGGCCATATTTCATATGGAAGCACCCCATGAATTAAACATACTGGCCATTTAAAACTAAGCAAGACATGGTATAAAGTGTATTTTAATGTTGACTTTTTCCAGTAAATATTTTATAAAATTTGACACCCACTAAACTGAGACTTTCAGTAGATATGAAGTAGCATTTTCTAGCAATATCACTTTCTCTGTCAAAAACTTTGATCTGACCTTTGCTTATAGCAAATAAAGGAGGAGAGCTATGTGGAAGGTTGAGAATGGATTCAAGAACAATGCAAACAGCTGCACAAATGGGAGGAATCTCCCATGTTTGGCAGAATCTCGGAGAATGCTGCTATCACAGAGGGGCTAGAGGCTATCCCTAGATAATGTTTGATTAACTCCTAATGAAATTTATATCCTAGGGAGGAAAATGGATAATAAATAAATAAATAAATAAATAAATAAATGCATAATAAAGAGCCAGCCAGAGAGAACCACTAGGAACAAAATTAAAGCAGGGGTAAGAGATACAGGGTGGTTAGGGAGGTTTCTTTGATCAACTGAGACAGTAAAGTAGGGACCTGGATGAAGTAAAGGAGCAAGCTATGTGAATCTGTGAAGGAAGAGCCCTCGGGCTGAGGAGATGGCAAGTGCAAAAGCCCTGTGGCAGGAACAGCCTGGCTGGTGGGAGGAGCAAGGAGGAGGAGAGTGGCTGGGTGAGTGTAAGCAAAGTGAGTGGTAGAAAATAGTGTTGGAAGGTAACTGGAGGCCAGAGCCACGGGAAAGACTCGATTTACTTTTAAGTGCAGTGGGGAGCCACTGGAAGGTTCTGGGGAAGGAAATGACACAATTTGAAAAACACTTTTAAGAAGTCATTCTGGATACCACAAAGTCAAGAAATCAAGACAGATCAACTTAACAAACAGAAGCAAAAAAGAAGAGTCTCTATCAAATAATGGGAAGACAAAGAAATACGCCCCACTTGAAGGGAAAGGAGGAACCCCCACAAAGAGAACTCAGTGAAATAGAGGCAAGTAAATGATCACATATTTAGTTCCAAACAACGGTTCTAAGGAAGCTCAATGAGCTCAGTGAGATCAGAGAGAATTACCAAAAACTATAGGGAAACTACGAGGAACTTACTGCAAACTATATCACCATGAAAAAGGACATAGAAACTATCAATGAGAGACAAGAGGAAATGAAAAATACAATTTCTGAATTGAAGAACACAGTAGAAGGAATCAAAAGCAAGCTAGATGAAGCCGAGGACCGAATCAGCGAGCTGGAAGGACAAGGTAGAAAAAAACTCCCAGAAAGAGCAAGAAAATGAAAAAAGACTCAAAAAGAATGAAGAGGCATTGAGGGAAATTCAGGACAACCTGAAATGGAATAATATCCGTATAATAGGGATACCAGAAGGAGAAGAGGATGAGGAAGGGATACAGAACCTGTTTGAACAAGTCATGATGGAAAACTTCCCTAATTGGAGGAGAGAAAAAGTCATGCAAGTCCAGGGAGCACAGAAGGTCCCATTCAAGAGGAACCCAATGAGGCCCACTCCAAGACACATCATCATGAAAATGGCAAATATCAAAGACAAACAGAGAAACCTAAAGCAAGTGAGAAAGAGGTAGTAACAAATAAGGGAGCCCCGATACGGCTAGCATCTGACTTCTCAACAGAAACACTGCAAGCCGGAAGGGAATGACAAGAAATATTCCAAGTCATGAAAAGCAAAGGCCTGCAACCAAGACTGCTCTACGCAGCAAGGTTCTCAATTAAAACAGAAGGCAAAATAAGGAGTTTCCCAGACAAAGGAAGACTAAAAGAATACACCTCCACCAAACCAGCACCGCAAAAAATGCTAAAGGGACTGCTTTAAGATGAAGAAAAAGTTTCTATGAATGCCCAGTTCCTTTTAGAGTTGCCAATACTTGATATTACCAGTACTTTTAATACTCATTCATTTGATTGTGACAATGATGTTATTTTAATTGTTCCTTTACTATTTGTTGAAACTAAACCTGTTTTTGTATATTTCTTGCTTATTTCTTTTTTTTTAAAAAGGCTTTAATTGACTCTTTGGTATTCTTTATCCATTTATTGATTACAGGTTTGTAGAAATTTTTTCCCTAAAGAAAAACAAAACCCTATTAACCATGTTTTAGATGTGTTGCAAATACTTTTCTATTCTATTCCTTTTCAACTTTTTTTATATGTATATTACTATATAGTCTTAAATGTTTAATATACTCATATTGTCAATATTTACTTTATAGCTTCTGGGGTTGAATAGTTTACTTCAGGTCATGAAAAATATTAGTTCTATTTTCTTCTAAAACTCCTTAGATTCTACATATTGATTTTTAACTCACCTGAATATTTCTTGTATAATGTGTGAAATAGGGCTCTATATTTGTTTTATTTCAAGTAATAGTGGTCCATGGACCTTATTTGTTGAGTAAGCCTTATTTTACCCATTATTTGAAATATCAACTTAATCATAATATATTAATCAGATATATATGTTTGTCTCTAGAATATTCATTATATTTCATTGATCTACTTGATTATTTCTGTGCTGGTGTCATGTTGGTTTAATTGTTGAGACTTTATAATGGTTTTAAATTTTTTAAAATATTTTATAATTAACTTTGACATTTAAAAAATAAATAAAATCAATCTGCATTTAAGAAGGAAAGAAAGAGAGAGAGATGGAACTCCTACCTTTTGCGACAACATGGATGGAACTGGAGAATATTTGGCTAAGTGAAATAAGCCAGTTGATGAAAGACAAATACCATATGATCTCACCTATAAATGGACTCTATTCAATAAAATAAACTAATGAACAAAATAAACCACGGGCATGGAAACGTGGAGCAGACTGAAAGTGACCAGAGGGGATGGGGAAAGAGGACAATGGTGGAAAGAAGGGAAAGGGACTGGACAAAGAATATGTATGAATGACCCATGGCCATCGACAATAGAGTAGGAATTGACTGTGGGAGAGGGGGGTGAGGGGTGGGGTGAGTGGAAGAGGGCAAAGAGGGAAAAATTGAGACAAATGTAAGAGAATAAACATGATTTATAAGTTAAAAAAGTAAAAGCAAAAAAAAAAAATCATTTTGTCTGCTGTGAAAAGAGTAAACTGTAGGGAGAAGAGAGTGGCCTCAGGGAAGCCAGCTCAGAGGCAATTGCAATGGTTTGTTTTCTTTCATGAGGGCCATTCTGTCTTCCAGGTGGGAAAGAGACTGCAGCTGGCCGAGGAGGAAGCAGAGTTCTCTTAGCTAATAGGGACTGCACTGCGCACGCACCAAGTGCAGACAGACCCTGGGAGTATGGCAGGACTAAGTACTTTTTGATACCCATGGCATCCAGCTTCTCAGAGGTGGGTGGTGGGTTGAAAAGAAAAAAGATATATAACAAATGATACATAAAAAGATATTCTTTACTTAAACTACACAAGGAAGATACCAAATTTCAAGATAATTCTATCATATCCCCCCAAATAATAGAAACTTTATTTTCTATTTTACAGAGGGTTGTAATTCTAGGTTCTCTTATGCCAGGCTCATCTCTGCTTTAAAGATTTTAATTCCAAAGTGAGGTGAAAATCTGAAATAGGCTAATATTCAAGGAGCTGGCAGGGCAACGAGACAGAAGGAACCTAGGCCTGGACAACGGGGGCCCGCCCGTCTCTGGCCTGGGCAACGGGGGCCCGCCCGTCTCCGGCCTGGGCAACGTGGGCCCGCCTGTCTCTGGACTGGACAACGTGGGCCTGCCCGTCTCCAGACTGCTACGTAAGAGGGAAATAAAATACAGCCATTGTCCTTCTGGGTGTCTTTGTTCCAGCAGCTCAGGCTAAATGCAACCCAACAAAATATCTCCCCCACCCAGGAAGGCAGCCGCTGCTTACTGCAGGCACCAGGTCTCCACGTTCCATGATGTCTCTGATCAATTTGCTTCTTTCAGATTCTGATAACAGCTCGTTACGCAGGAGCTCACCAGTCGAGAGATGTGTAAATCCATATTTTTCCACCAGCTTTTCACACTGCGTGCCTTTGCCAGAGCCCGGGCCACCTACAAAAGTTGTCATGGATCAGTCATGCATCCTAAGCCTGGTGTCTCATTTTCAACTACATTCACCATGGTGGGCAGGTTTCAGTGCTTCATTAAGCATGTAGCACACACTTTTGATTTACCAGGAGCTGTGCTGGGCGGTGTGGATACAATGGAGAATGGGTTAGAGTCCTTGCCCTCAAAGAGCTTTCTGTGCATGGAACAGCGCAGGGGTTACAGACAAACAAGCAATCACTACAGGTGGTCTCGTGGGAGGGGGGAGCTGAGGCTGCTGCGGGGTCTCAGGGGGCCTGCAGGACCCCCGTTTGGTAGAGATGCAAGTCAGAGAGGTTTGCTGGGGAACTGAATCTGCCCATGTCCCTAATAAAGAGTGAATGCTCAACAAATGCTAGCTCTTAATTTTTAAAATTGCTTCACTTTCAAACAACCACAAACTTACAGAAGGCTTAAAAGTAGAGTACAAAAAACTTTCTGAACCATTTGAGAGTAAGTTGTCAAACAGATGCCTTGTTAATATATAGCACTTTTGTGTCATTTCCTTCGCAAAAGGAACCAAGCACGTGCTTCTACATAACTACATCTTCAGACACCGTCCAAATTTCAATGGAATTATCTCATTTGTCCCAATGCCCTTTAAAGCCAATGGATGAAGTTCTAAGTTTTGTGTTGCCTTTCATTGTCACGTCCTTCTGGTCTCCTTCAGCAAGAACAGTTCCTTCGTTTGACACTTTTGAAAATTATACAGTTATTGTGTACTGTCCCTCAATGAGATTTTCTGCTGTTTTCTGGTTAGTATTATTAATTCCAAGTACCTGCCATATTCCTTTGAGGAACATTACACAGTGGACCCTTTCCCTTGCCTCTCCAGCTTCAACTAGTTGCTAAGTTGTAAGATTTTACAACTGAAAATAATAATAGGTAACCTTTGCCAAGAGCTTGAGGTGCCAGTCACTGCTCTAAGCACTTTATGCATATAATTGAAAATAGTCTTAAGAATCAGGCACTGTTATTATCCCCATTTTCCAGACGGGGAAGCAGAGACACAGAGAAATGAACTCCACGGCTTTAGGCTGGCCGGCAGCAAGCTTAAGATTTGAAGCCAGGACTCTGGCAGAGGCGCCCCCTGCGCTCTTCCCTCAGCACAGTTCGGGGCCTCGGGCTCACGGACAGGGCCATCTTTCTGCCTCTGCGTGGGGGGCATGGGAGAGGCTTTGGAGTCTGGCACACCTGCCAGCAGGATGACTTGCTTTAAAAGCATGTCATTCCCAGCTCCATAACATTTAATACCTTCTCATTCCCCACAGAAGAGAATCCAAACCTCTCAGAGGGGCATTCAACCTCCCAGAATCTAGTTGCATTTAACCTCTCCAACCTTTTTCTCCTTTTTTTTTTCCATTTCTCATCCTGGCCCAACATTGTCATGTCCACCACGTACTGTCCTTCAATAAAACACACTTTTCCAGGCCATTGTGCTTTTGCTCTTTGAGATCCTCAGCCTGGAAGGTCCTTCCTCCTCGTCCCTTCTGCCACATACTGGCCCTCTCACCCTCGCCTCTGTGCAGTGAGTGGTTTACACAGCACTTGGGTGCCTTTGGCCTGTCTCACACCTGGACTCCAGGTCCCTCACCAGCACAGCGCCTCACACACAGTAGGTGCTCCACAAATACCTCAGGAATCGAGGTTTTCCTATAAAGGGGTCTCTGAACATTAAAACACACAACATGATTGAGATTTAAGTGTGGGAGTGAGGACTTATGACTTATTCTCCAATTTCCCTGGCTTGCCTTTCTTCATTTTCAAAGCTGCTTTCTTGGGACGTTTGGCAACTTCCCCCTTGAGGGACATTAGTTGTGTTTCTCATTAGTAGAAAGGCCTCTTAGTCCCTCTCCTTTGCCTTGGCAGAAAGTAAAGTTAAAGCCCGCATTTTCTATCTTCTGCTCATCCACACGGCTGCTCTTAGCCAAGTCGGCAGGGTCAGCCCCCTCCCAGTGTTGTCATGGGCAGGCTAGATGTCGCAGGGAAACACCGGTTACGGAGGCTCGCCAACGCAGTGCAGGCCACTTAGAAGGAGCGGGCGATGGCCAGCTAGTGCTGCGTTTGCTCCAAGCGCTGTGGCTCCTCTCTGCTGAGACGCTAGAAATGGAGTGTGTGGGCACACAAGAAGGCCGCTCAGGGAGGAGTGCTTCCAGACACCTGAGTGACGGGAACGAGGGGCTGAACTCCTGCAGAGACCACAAGGGCTTCTGTGACCAGATTTACCTAGAAACTCTTTTCCTGGGATGGCTGGAAGCCAGTCATGTGGAAAAGGTATTTTCAGACTTGGCTTGCAAGGCCAAAATGCTGTGTTTGAATTATTTTTCTTCCTTCACCATCCTACTAATACAACTATTATAGTTTTAGGTCCTCTAAAATGTTATTTAATAAATCTCAACACAAAGGCAATTAAAAATCTTCAGCTCAAATTAACAGCAGCTGTGTGTTAAACAGCAGCTGCTGCCCCGTTAGAAACCTTTCAAACCTTTCGTGGGAGCAGCAGCTGCAAATTCTTAGCATTCTTTGGCCAAATGGTGCAGGCACAGTGGAATTTTAAGTAATCTGCACAATGCCTTGATTCTTCCCATGGCTCCAACCCGGAGAACAAAGTGATTTTTTCTCACTGCAGTGAAGGCCCAATGACTACTGATAGAACTATGAGTTTTCATATACTGTCACTTGCGTGTCTTGGAGGCCTTAACTAATGACTTTTAAATGAAAACCAATAGGGCCTTGATATCCCTCCAGGATAATTTGTTGCTTGGCAAAAAGTCTTCTGAGGTGCCACATATCAGAATGAGTGGGCTGTATTCTCTGGTGACAGCATGATTGATAGCAGATGAAGAGCTGTCACATTTATGCCATCTCACTGATTTTTAGTGTGTCATTACTCAAGGCTTAAGCCCCTGAGCAAACCTATACCCAATATGGCATGATGTGATTCACAAAGAGTGTCTGGAATATGAAATTCCATTTTAAAGGGGTCTGGCAACACTTCCAAAAAAAAAAGGGCGGGGGGGTGAAAAATCTTTACTCTCAACTTCCAGTGTAATTTAACATTTTTTTTTTCATGTGAGGCCAAGGTGCTATATCGTGAGTGTGAAAATACTGTGAACTCCCACCTCGCAGCTCAGTGTATTATTTCCCCCTAAGTTTCCCACAGCACAGGAAGGAAGGAAGGAAGGAAGGAAGGAAGGAAGGAAGGAAGGAAGGAAGGAAGGAAGGAAAGAAGGAAGGAAGGAAGGAAGGAAGGAAGGAAGGAAGGAAGGAAGGAAGGAAGGAAGGAAGGAAGGAAGGAAGGAAGGGGGAAAGGGGCAGCTGCAGAAGATTCGCCAGCCCAGGGGGCCCATGACTGTGTTCTCACTCCAGCATGCTCTTTGAGGTGGAATCGGAACAAGCTGCATCACCTCAGCATGCCCACCTGAGCCACGGTTTCCAGGGTGCCTTTTGTTTACTGGAGCAATCCTCTCTAAGGCGACAGCTCCTGGTTTCATTAGCTGAGCCCCGCAAGAGAAGACCTCCACTCCCTAAGCAACTGTTGCACGGTGCTTGGCCTCTGGGTAAAGGATAAGATAGCAAAGCTGGTTTGTTATAGCACAGTCTGCGCTCAGAAAGCAAGCCCAAATAACATGGTCAGGTAGATAATTAGCTAACCCCAATCCAAACAAATGTATGTATGTACGTTTCTGTTATGCTTTCATTTCTATTTTTTTATTCTCACCCAAGAGCAATGAAAAGCAATGTTTTTCATTGCTTTTCAGAGAGAGAGAAAGGGAGAAAGAGAAGCATCAATTGGAGAAAGGAGCAGCGATTAGTTGCCTCCCATACCCGTGTGGACCAGAGTTTGTACACGCCCCAAGCAGACATTGAATCTGCAACATAGACATGTGCTCTTATTGGGAATCAAACTCACAACCTTTCAGTTATGGTATGACACTCCAATCCACTCAGCAACACTGGCCGCCTATGCTTTTATTTTTAAAGATTTTAAATAGCAATGGTATAGAGCAGGTTCTAATGTCCTTTGTTGACATTTTGTTGTATCTTATTAACTGTAGGATGGAACCTGGAATTAAACATGCGGCCTATTAATACAGCTCTTCATTTGATAACTATCTGGTGGGCAGCTAGTATAGGTCAGACACTGTGCTAAGCACTGGGAATAAAAAGACTCAGAGGCCCTGTCTGTCCAGTCAGAGAATTCACCATCTAATGGAGAGATGACAGGTGAGCCCAGCGTCTCGGAACTGTGACAGGGCCGTGAGCCTGGCTGTGAACACCACTGCAGGAGCCCCAGGACAGGCTCCTCGGCCAGGCAGGGGAAGGGCGGTCGACGAGCACTCCCAAGGACCTTTGCCAACACAGGAAATGAGGGAAAGAAGGGAATAAGACTGAGTTTGGTATATTCGGTAAAGTGACGTGGAACATGGCAGAGCCCTGCGGAGAAAGGCAGGAGGGGAGGATGTCATGCAGTGGTGTCACTGGAACCGAGGCAGGTCTGCCCCAGCACAGTCTGGAATGTGTGGTTTCTTCACTTCATGCAGGAAAGAGTTCACAACTCGAGTCCCAGTGATTTTGAGAGTTATGTTTCTTAAAGCTGGGGACAGTGAAACAAAGTCATGGCTTAAGATAGAAAAAGACAAGATCCCAGCAACAGGAGTGAGTTTGGGCTGGGCTGCCTGGACGCAGGAAGGGAAGTCACAGTAACAGAAGTAAGCCATCTGCGCTGCCTAGATTTCCTTTCCTGAGTCTGGGCAGCCCTGTGTGACTGGGGTGATTCAAGCTACTCACTTTCTGGCTGGGGAGGCAAGGTGTAGTCCATTTGCTCCTAAGTATTCTTGGTTAGGGAAGATAAGACCTTGCAATGTATTAGCTGGCTGTTAATTGCTCAGCCTTTGGTTAGCTATCTGTCTCATGTTTCCCCTCATTCCATTTGTCAAGGAATTGCCTAGCTTGTTACAAAGCTG